GTATATATGTGTGTATATATTTACAGTATATATATGTATGTATTTTAAAATTCAAATTCTCATTGCCTGTAATGAAATTGCATATTAGCACAAAACAATTGGCTGAAAGTGATTTTCCGCCTCCCCTCAATCAGGACCCCCTGGTGCAGTGGGTCGACCCGGCCTGCCCGGCGGCGTTGGCCGCAGCTTCAGCATCGGCTACACTCTGGTGAAGCACAGCCAGAACTCCCAGGTGCCCATGTGTCCACAGGGCATGGCCAAATTGTGGGACGGGTACAGTCTGCTGTATGTGGAGGGACAGGAGAAGGCACACAACCAAGACCTCGGTGGGGAAAATTTGCTTTAAAATGTGAAACTTCAACCACTTTCTTTGAGTTTTTAATTCCAGACGTTCTATTAATTTAGCTGGACACCAGTATCTYATTTAGATATCAAGGTTTTGGTGGTTTCTCTGGTTTGAATATTTTTTTCTTCTCATGTCTGTCCAGGTCAGCCAGGTTCCTGCCTCAGAAGGTTCAGCACCATCCCCTTCCTCTACTGCAACCCGTCAGAGACGTGTTACTACGCCAGCCGCAACGACAAATCCTACTGGCTCTCCACGACTGAATCCATACCCATGATGCCTGTGGCCGAGGAGAGTATACAACCGTACATCAGCAGGTACCGGACAGAAAGTTCACTTGTTCCTACAGAATGCAGCGTCCGTCATAACGCGCTATTTCTCAGGTAATCGTTTTAATTTTGATTCACAACCCAGGTGCTCTGTGTGCGAGGCTCCCTCTCAGGCGGTGGCGATCCACAGTCAGGACCTGTCCATCCCCATGTGTCCCCGCGGCTGGAGGAGTCTCTGGATAGGATACTCCTTCCTCATGGTGGGTCAATAACAGAAAAACTCGCAAACTACTGAAAAACCGAAGGATAAAACAATATGAGAGGCCAACAAAATGCATTGTGAAATATTTGACATGTCTAGTTTTCCTCATTGCTATTTGTGCAGAATAATACTGAGCTAAATAAATAAAAAGATTCAAGAATAAAGACACAAACTTTACATAAAAAAGAGAACGACAAAGGTCACCTGTGTATGACAACACGATTGTAGATAAACTGTAAACCAGTGTCAAACTCATTTTTACTGAGGGCCACATGAGCAGCATGACGGCACTCAAAAAGCCGGTTATAACATTTTGTGTTTAACGTCGACTAAGCACGAAACGTCACGTTCTTCGTCTCATAGCTACAGCTGAGCACAGCTAAAARTAACTGAGCTCTACATGGTATTTCCTGCACAGAAACAGTGTTTTAAYACGTCCTCTTATAAACACTGAAAAGTACTACGTGTACGACTGACTAAATGTCAAATACATATGGAAATTAGATCATATTTAGGTGTCCTATTAAGCAAATGCTGCCTTTTTGAAATTTGGTATCTTGTTGGTTTTTGAGCTTATATTGTATAATAATGTGTTGTGATGTTGGATTTCTGAGTGTTTMATGTTCTGCAGAACAGGAACCTGCTGTAAGACAGCAATTATGCTGAGTCAGGCWTGATTTATATTAATCTTTTCCTGTTTAAATCAGTCAATCAATCAATCAAATATTAAAAGTGAAGTAAGAGAGTTTTACTCACTGTTGAGTTGTGGTGAGTAGCTGCCATCTTGAATTGTGAACTATCCCACTTTCCCACAGGGAATTCCTACTGATAGGGCATTCCAGTTTAAATTTACGGCTTGTAAGTGGGAAAATCCCACTTCCTAGTACAACTGGGCCAAAGCAAAATTAGCTGTTGAAAATGCATCGACACTGAGATTTTACGCAGAGAATTTTGTGGAAGGCCGTCATTTCGCTGGTAAAATAATCAACATGCATTATGGGAGATGTAGTTTATGGTCAAAGCTGTCTTTAAATCAGCTTATTTAAAAACAGTTTCATTTTTGAAGCTCTCCCCGGCCACATAAAATGCTTGGGTGGACCACATTTGGCCCTCAGGCTTTGAGTTTGACACATTTGATGTACATAAATAAAACAGCGAGGATTTATATGTTTAAGAAATGTAGCTTCTAATAGTCTAACAGTCTCCTGTTCAAGGTCCCATTATTATTTTTATGTATGTACTTATAAAATAAAAGTGTTGAGAATAGACAGGCAGGACAGAAACATGTTCTGTTGCTAAGAAGCGTCCTTCTGTTTGCACCGCAGCACACAGCAGCCGGCTCCGAGGGCGGCGGTCAGTCTCTGGTGTCCCCCGGCTCCTGCCTGGAAGACTTCCGCACCACGCCGTTCATCGAGTGCAACGGGGCCAGGGGCACCTGCCACTTCTTCGCCAACAAGTACAGCTTCTGGCTGACCACCGTAGACCCCAGGCAGCAGTTTGGCTCGCCGCCACAGCAGGACACCTTGAAAGAGGGCCTGGGGCGTTCCAAAGTGAGCCGCTGCCAGGTCTGCAGCAAGCTCTTGTAGTCGACGGCAGTGTGGGCGGGGCGACGTCAGGAAGAGAGAACTCTTTGAAAAATAACAAGGAGCGAGGAAATGTGACAACAACAACAACAAAAAAGCCTCCTGCCTGTTTTAACAGATGGTTTCAGAAAGAAGACGTTACCAAACACATTTCTCCCTTTTCTTAATTCCCTTTAGGAGGAGTTGATTCAGTAAAGAAGCTGGAATGAGGACTTGAAAGGAGAYGAGCCACAGTGTTGGCTCCTCTCTAGATTATAACTGAGAATGGTGCTATTGTTAATGTTTGTTGTTTTCTGTCTGGTTTTTACGTTACGGTATTTTACCTCGGGGAGAGCTGCTCCGTTCGCAAAGCACTGCACCGATTCCACAAACACGCAGAGAGGGACCCCTGCTTCAGATGAGTCTGTTTACCAAGGTTTTAATGTTAGTTTACATCACCTGCTGAGGTTAATGTCAGCCTTACAGATCTTGGTTTAAGCTCTTTTTTATTGTGAATTGGCCACGTTTTATATTAAAAATTGTTCTGATGAACAAACATCAAATTGAACCCACTCTTGGAAACCGACTGAAGAGTTTGGGGATTGTCTGCTTTGCTAAATCTTACTAAAAATCAGTAATAATAATTAACAAGTGCAACATATGAACCGATACAAGCATTTTCACGTGTAATCAGAGGAATAGTTGATATTTGTGCTTCTCTAATCTGTATCATTTTATTCAAATTGGGACAAATTTTAAAATTCAGGATTCAGACACTATTTCATTTATTTATTTAAAAATACAAGGCTTGTTTGTCAAAATTTGAGCAATGTAAAAGTGCCATAATAACTAGGAAACACTTTAATGGAAAGCTTTTCTCTCACTTAGATTAGGATGTTCCTTAAAAGCAAATGTTGAATTTATCAGGACTAGAGTTTGTGTTGACAAAGTCTGTTGTAGAAAATGTTGTATTTTTTTCTGGGCGAGACATCTTACCCTTCATTGTTGATTTCTAATAAATGGACAGAATCAACTTTCATATATTTATTGGATGACAAGCAAATTGAGAATAATTAGTTTTAAAATAATGATAAAAAGCAGCAGCTCTTGTTAGCATGCAGGCTCTATCATAGGACAAAACCCCTCAGAGGATTAAATTCACTCTTACTCTGTTTTATAATAAACTGTTGGTTCATAAAGTTGGGGATGGGAGCCCACTAGGGTCACAAAAGTGATGGTTTTTAAATGATCTTCCATAATCAAAACAAATTTTAAAGTGACTGAGAATAACATATAATGTTTGACCGATAAAAAAGTAATCATAGCTGAGTAAAAACCTTCAAGTGGTTTTGTCATTATCAGGGGCGGAGCTAGACTTTTTGCAAAGGGGGGCACAGATGTGGCCAAGGTGTTATCTAGCAGGGGGCACATGGAAATAAAAATWAGTACCCTGGATTTAAAATATTAAGATGGCCACCACAGCTCAGTTTAAGTGACTTTAATTCAGCCATTTAAGCCTAAATGAGGTGAAATTTGTTGTGGTGTAGCTGAGAATGATTGCTAGTCCCAATTTAAGYTAACCTCTAGGATATATATAAATATATATGTGTGTATATTTATTTTTTACAGATTTATTTTACAACGGACTATAATTCAGCCATTAAATACRCAGCTGAAAATGTAGAATAATCTTTCACAAAATCTGAATGCAAATACAAAATCCAAGATGACCACCAAAGCTTATTTCAAATACTTATACCTCTGCCATTTTTTTTAGAAATACTGAGCTGAAATCGGTAAGGTGGTAGCCAAGAGCAATCCTCCTGTCATTTTGAAATCTCAATTTTAATCTTTTAGACATAGAGTGATGCCCAAAAAAACTCTAAATTCAAATGAAAGAATCTAAAATGGCTACAATTCWGCAAWYWTTTTTCATATATTGAGCTGAAATTTAGTGCGGTGGAATTGTTTCATATTAATTTGGTGGTTTAGAAAAGATTATTTTCTTCTCATATTGATAGGTTCCATCTACACTAGATAATACAGCTGCATAACAGATATTAACTTTGTTTTATCTCTAACAGACCATATTTATTGTTCCATGTGATCCCCACCCCTTGTTATCAATCATTTGGGGGGTGGCACTTGGGGTGGCTAATCAGATGAAAGTAGTAGCACTTGCCACCCCAGCCACTCCTCTAGCTCCACCTCTGGTCATTATGCTCTTGATTAAATGGTTTACAGATGCCAATCTGCTTCAGCCGGCTACAGTATAGTTAGGAATCACAAGTCTGCCACACCTATTGATTTTTTTTCATGAGTTAATTGCTAAAAAGCTCGGGAACGATTGTTCTAACGCTGGCTGGGTCTGTTGTTTTTTAATTTTTAATTTTTTTTTCACATTAACTCGTACTGGAACACATTTATAATGTATAATAATGGTTAACAAATTCAAGGAATAAGGTTTGGAGATTTTTTTTCAAAGGTTGGAGCCCAATGGCATCCCCATCCCTAATCTGACTATGCCCTGAGGAACAAGGGGATCAACAAGTGGGGGGGCAATGGGGGACGCTGCCCCACCACCCCAACCCCCTTTGGCACAACAACCTTTACCTGTTAAATCTTGAGCTTTAGTTTGGTGGACATGTTTAATATCCTCTCACTATTTTAGATCAGCAGTACCTCTTAAAATAAAAAAAAAAACAGTGTTTCTGAACGTTGATTTCAACAATATGGATTTTAATAAAATAGTATTAATTAAAAAATACTCTAAATCTAGTWTCCCTGAATATGAACAACTAAACAGACTAAACTATTTTGATGCAGAAAGTCAATATTTTCACTTCCTGCATGTTGCATAATACAACYCCTTGGTGTTTCATTTCTTTGACAGGCAACTTGAAACATCCCTCTTTACTTATTTGTAACTATAAAAATGTAAAGAGCACATTTCCCTACAATGACTCCAGCTGAATCTGTTCCAACAGCAGGAGACAAGAACAAATGACTGAGAACCACACTGGTGTTGATCTAGATCTGAACACACAACCCAAAATGGGCTTTTACATCCCTRTTCTCTTATTTATTTGTTTATTGTTATGACCAAACATATTTTCTTAGTTAATCTTTTTAAAACCAGTTTATCATGGATAATCCCACAGCATAAACTCTATTATTATAAATTATAATTACAATCTTTCCCAGCAATGTCTTGATGGCTTAATGATATTAGCTTGTGTAAGTTTTTTTCCTCTTGTATGCTTACGTTTAAAGAATTAATGAATATATATTAGCAAGTTTTTCTGCAGATAATAAAATGATTTGTAATGTTTACATTTGGTTTTGCTCAAAACGGGCTCTAAATAAACAGCACTGACTTGTAACACCTACATTCACTACGTCTAACACTTCTGACTGATAGCTTTTACACTTCTTACTGTTTCTTCATGCCTGTTTGTGTTTTGTATTCTAGATTGTAATTATTTTTACTCATGTCAGTATATTATTCCCTGGTTTTATTTTACAGAGAAGAATGAGAAGATAATGATTTGTACATTAAATGTTATAAAAATATTGAATTCTTAAGAATGTCTTTTGTGGAAAAAACATTTATCACTGATGATTTAACAGATGTAACACATTTTACTGTCTTACTGGACTGAAATGGTGAGCCAAATGTTCCAATCAGCAGGATCCWGGAWGCAGGGGCGGAGCTAGACTTTTATRTGAGGGCAGGACCTGGGGTGGCCAAGGATCCTTCAGGGAGGGCACATACAAAAAAGGAAACTCTTCTGTTTGTCAATCCTGGTACCTAAGGAATATACCTTTTTGACATGTTTTTATCATTCGTGTAGTGACTTGTCCATCAACTGGGCTAGCCAATCAGGTTCCAGGGGTTCCACCCACATGGCTCCGCCTCTGCCTGGAAGAGACAGAAATGAACATTAACAAAAAAGGCTTTCCTCCAAGAGGATCACCCCCAAAACAATAAGTCAATTAGTGGTCTGTTAATTTGAAATGTATTTTTGTTCTTACACATTTTGGAATAAAGTTTTAAAATTGACCAAGAAATGCTACATTTTTATTTTTTGCACAGTAAATATTAGGTTGAAGACATGAAATAGTTATAAAAAGTTCAAATTAGAAATGTCTAAAATATGGCAGTTTGTGGCTTTACTTGTTTCAAAATAAATAACAAAATATTAAAGTCTGACACAAACATTGATAAAGGCTAATGCTTGTTTTTCTTGTTTGATCAATTTAACTGACAGCAAAACTGAACTTTGTGGGTTATTTTGACCCATGGGGTGGAGGGGGGGGGGTGTTTAAAGAGTTTAAACTAAAGTTTTATGATGAGAAGGSATGAAGTTAGGACACTATGGTCAAACCTTATAAATGTTGTTAAGCATGATGCAATATTGCAACAGTGATAATTAGTGGTAATTAGTGGTAATTACCACAGCAAATATTAGTATTTGTAAAATTAAATGAGTTATAATCATTTTTGTGTCGTCAAAGGTTAGCTGGCACATCTTGATCCATCAAAAATATATTCTCACAGCTTCATTAAAATCCATCCAGGGAYTCATTACATGAGATAATTCATCAGCAGAAAGAGCAGACTCTGTTTAATGTAAAATTAAATGTACTTTTTATTATTCTAATTGAAGCTGAGAAGAAAGAGAAAAATTGTTCTTTTATTATGTTTTTTTTTTCAGAGGAAATTCCCCCTATATAAACATTTGCATATTTCACTTTAAAACTTAAAACATTATACATAAAATACTTATGGCACAAAACAAGAGTCCTTTCATCTTTGGCAGTGGTGTTTAGAAAAATAACAATGAGAACTGCATCTTTTTCTTAGTTTTTGTCTAAGCAAATCGTCATTTGACTCAAACAGTTTGATTGTAGGATATGACATGTTATTTTTATGTGATGTCTTCTTGCTGGTTTTGTTACTCAGGTTTAATGTTTTTAACACCATTCTTACAGGTGGTGTAATGACGCTCCAGAACACTAGGTGGTGTAATGACGCTCCAGAACACTAGGTGGTGATACAGCTCCAAATCCCTAGTGAAAGAGTTGCACTCTAAACAACATTAGCCTGCAGGAAAGCGAGGCGTATTATTTTCTGCTAATTTGGAWACTTACTAACAGGTCAGTAGCACAACTTTCACCCTAAACAAAGTCAGAATGTGCGATGTTTATAAAGAGATGGGACGGTGCATTATTTTTACAAGGTGTGCTAAACGTTAGCTCGTTGGCTAACATTAGCTTCGTTAGCTTCTTTAATTATCTCTGTGTTGTTTGCTGGCTACAGTTTTCATCTTCTTGTTTTACTGCGTGAAAAAAGTGTGAAATAAAAGAAAGATGCGCGTCTTGGTATTTACAGGATGATGGCATTGCAAGTTMGGCTGCTGGATTTGTTAGCTTGAAGTATCTACTTTGGCTTTAGCCTGTGTGACTCGAACCGAAAGTAAAACGACGTAGTTGCAACAACAGTGTTTGTGTTGATTTGTGAGTTACCTTTCATGAAGTRAAGCACACTTTAAGGTCATGTGTTRCATTTACATWAATACAGTCATGTCTACTGCCTCTTGAGATGTGATGTGAGCTAATTTGTTTACGATTGTAGTTGATTAGTTTACATTAGAAAACACAGCCAACTTTACTGAAACTACACAAATAAATTCTTGAAAACTACCAGATCAGCCGTAGAAAAACTACTGGTGAATGCTGAATAGAAGTAACTTTTTGTCATACAGGACAAAACACTGTCAAATTAGTGATGTTTATTTTGTTACTATCATTAGTTGAAGTGTATTTTTAATTAAAGATAGGTAAATGTGTTCTTGTGGCATATTATTTTATATTAAGGACTTTGTAACATCTAAATTCTACGGAGCCCATAAGGGAACATGGGGTTAAAATAAATGAAATGATCCTGACTTACTTTTGCCTGATCCTTCAAATGTTTCTCAGGATCCTGAGAAACTTTTGTAGGATCTTGCAGAAGTAAGTCAGGGTACGTTTGTGTTTACTTGTTCTTCCCTCTATGTCCCCTTACAGGCTCCGTAAAGTTCATCGTTCAAAAACAATTCTGCGGTTCTGTTATTTATTTATGGATGTCTTAATCCGTTTAACTACTTCTTATCATGTTGCCTTTAGGGCAAATCATAGTGAAGTGAGACAATTTCTTTGCTGAACACAGCTTTCTGCCATCCTACAGCCAGGAAATGGTTTCAGAACACGTGACTACAATAAACATTAGAACGTTTCAAGTTTGCAAAGTGTGTGTTATCAAGCTTCAGGCATTTTTGGAGTGTGTTACGAACAACAACACCATCACGCCGTACAATGGGCCTCATGCAAGAACATGTTCGTATTCTTATCCTAAATTTCTCTTACTTTTGTTCGTACAAAGGG